TTCCTGTTCCTTCCACAGATCTTTGCAGTGTACCTGAAAGACATTCACATCCACATGGAATTTCGCTGCATTACAAGTGCCAGACTGCAGGCACAGAAGTCACTGTTCTGCTGAACTGTTGCTATTACTCAGCAATACTTGGCATTTCTACTAAAAGGCCGATAAAGGAATAAAGTTTGATTAAATTTCAGTGTTGGTAGACCTAAGAAACAGGTTTTGATTCCATGATTTTCTTCTGGATGAGTTCAAATTTTGTACACTAAGCCTAATACTTTTTGCTCTGCAGTAGCACCTTTGACATTGGGGAACCCTGGGACACTTTCTGAAATTTAAACCTGAGTTTGCAACAAATAAATCGTTTAGCTGTCACAAAAAAGCCATTACAACATGGTTCGACTGCCAATGCATACAATGCATAAATGTTATTACAAAGGACATTCAAAGGCTAACTGAAATCTTTAGCATACATGACTTCTAGTCATGTCAAATCTTAGCTGTAATGCTGTAGTAGGGACAATCTCCACTTCTCTAAGGAAAGAGAATACAATTAAGAAGAGAAAATGTGCTTTAGCTTTGGTATATCAGGGAAGTTAATTGTGTCAATATTAGTGTTCTCTGTTCTTCAAATAAATGAAGAATACGGATGTTCCTCCATATGTCATGTGTCCATGTGTCATCATCCACAGGAAAATGAAGGAGACAGGAAAGAGCTATTGAATGGTCAGTTCTCCAAAACTTCATACTCCAAGTAGTTCTCACTAATTAAAATATTAACCTTCTTTAATAATCACTGCATCTCAGTGTGTTTGCTGGATATTATAGTTAGTGTTTTTTCTAAATGGCCTAAGGGAGCTGCAGTCAGTTGCACAACAGCATTATGTTTGCATCACAAACAAACCAGGACTGTGAGGAGATTCTAGTACCACACTATTAGGCTACACTCTGAAGGGTTCACATTGTAGTAATGAGACATTGGCATCATACTCCTGAACTGCAACATTTGGGGCAACAAATTTGACATGATTTCCTGACATTATCATATGTTTTGTTCAATTTTGGACACAGCACTTCACAACAGATTCCATCAAACCAAGGAGGACTTTGGAGAGAGCTTTGGTTTTCACTTTCCTGAGGGAGAAAGGAATGTCTTTTTACAGAGCGTGTTGTTCTTTGCCCCAGCCTGTGCTACAGCCCCAACTTCAGCCATATAGCTGCAGTATAGCAGCAGCAGAGCTGTCTCTGGAGAACCATCATTACTTCCCCATACAAAGGAGATTTTTTATGCCCTGGTATCCTGCAACAGGGGCCAAGAGTCTGTTCTGTGTGCAAAGTCTATGTACACCCACACATGCACACCAGGGTTGCTGCTTTTTCATGCTTGACACTGAATACCACACAATAGGTGTATCAGTGGCCAGGGACAGACAAGAACAAAGACTTTAATCCTTGATGCAAACAACTGTTAGTAGAACGCTTCTAAAAGCCTGAAGCACACACATTAAGGAAAAGAAAGCTTTACTTCTTTCCAGCATAATGAGCGTTTCTCAATCAAGTCAGGGGTCATAATTACGCCAAAGATCACCTGTCAGCACACTAAGATGATCATCTCATCCCATACCTCTACAGATGTGAATATACCACCAGGTGCATTATGCAACAGATGAAGAGAATGCATTTGTCAACTAGGCAGAAGATCTGGGATATGCCACAAAAAAGGATAAATATCCTGTAACTTACCCCACATCCACCCTTTCAGGCTCCACAGAAAGCCTAATCAGAGTCCACTGTAGTGAAGTTACAATAATGAATAATTTGGTTTCTCTTGCTGCTAAGAATTCAGACCACTGAAATGTTCTGGGCTCCAGTGCAAAGGGAGAAGATTTGTTACAGAAAGGTATAGACGCAGTTCAATTCTTAAAGTTCAATCAGCTGTGGCTAAACTAAAAAGAAATTAAAATACTGCTGGCACCAGTCAGTGTAATAATTTTAGAAAGCTTCTGACAGTTCTCTACTAACTGTGACAGAAATGTAGTAATCAAGACTGTGGCTGTCAGAAGTTGGTGTAATTTTTTATTTCCTCGCTTTACTTATATAGTGAATATAGTGTAGGTGAACAGTGCTTGGATCCCAGCCTTCAGACAATAATTCTTTATCTACCCACAAAATTTGTTTGGGTTTTGTTTTTTTTCTTAACAAGCTTCCTCATTGCCATAACTGTATATCCACTTTAATTTTGTCAAATCAGAGACCAAAGTTTCCTGATGGTCTGCATGCTTTTCTTGGAATATTGCATTCACTGCTTAAATGCTGCCAATGTGCTAATATGCAATAAATCAAGGACTATAAAATCACAAGAAGAAAAACATGAAGGGATGATCAGAAGAGTCCTCTGAAGTCACTTGGCGCACCTTCCTCCTCAAAGTGGGACAATAACTGATACCAGATCAGATCACCCACAGTTTTGACAAGTGTTTAAGGCCAGGTTGAACAGAGCTTTGAGCAACCTGGTCTAGTGGAAGGTATCCCTGCCCATAGCAGGGGGTTGGAACTGGATGAGCTTTAAGGTCTCTTCCAACCCAAACCATTCTGTGATTCTATGGTAAGTCTTGAAAAACTGAAGCACAGCAAGTTAGAGGGTACCACAGAAGGGTACTACTACACCTCAAACAGTGTGCTCATTCACTGGAACATTTCACTGAGACGTATTAATGGTAAGAAGATAAAAGCCATTGGATACTGTTCTGATCACATGTATTTCTATTGTCTAGTCTTTGTAATACAGCATAAGGGTGTCTGAAGACAGCTGATGAAAATAATCTCCTTGTTTATCTTTTACATACTTTGAAAAATAGAACATCCATTAGCTGTGTATTTATCATTGCTTTGACAAAATCACAGAACAAACTGGATCATTCAACACAAATCTGATGTGAACAAGGCGTGTTAAGACAAGCAATATTAAACAATAGATATCTTTTTCTCTGTTTCATAATAAAGTTGTCCCCTAAACAAGTGCTCCAAGTTAACACTTAAAGCCTCCTGAAGGGTCACAGATGATGTTTCACTGCTGGTAGAAGTGCTAGCTATGAAAATAGGATAGTGGAATTGGAAGTGAAATCACAGATAAGGCTGCCATCTAGAAGGTTTGGAAACTGCTAACAGGAAGCTCTCCCTGGCACTCAGAATAAGTTATCCCACTGAGAAAGGATCAGTTCACACTCACAAGATTCTAGCAAGCTCAGGAAGGAATTGTGCTTAATGAATAGTCCAGGTTGGAAGAGATCTTTAAAGGCCACCTAGTCCAACTCCCCCTGCAATGAGTGAGGACATCTTCAACTATATCAGGTTGCTCAGAATCCGATTTAACAAAGTTTTACACATAACCCTGATACACAAGGAAAGTACTGCACCCATACCACCTCCAGTAAGTCATCCAGGCCTTTATTCTTGACCGTCTCCACCAGTCCCCATCTGAGAGAACAGTTTTTTTTCTAGTGACACCTCCTCAGAAAGTCCGTGTACTTACCTTAATACCAGCATGGTCATTATGTCCATTTCAGAGGCAGGGATGTATCTACATACCTGACTCTCCTGCGATCTTTTCCATAGCCTCTTGCTGTACAACTTGTACAGTTGTACAAGAGTACAAATGTACTCTTGTACACTTGAGAAGAAGCTGATAGGTTAAATCAAATCATATTTACGCTGCGCAGTGCCAGCACTTACCATCAGCTACGTTGACTGGTTTTCATACAGTGTGTCTGGATTCCTTTCCTCTGCTTTATAGTAAGAGCAAGTTTACTGCCAGCTTTCTGATAGTATCTCTGTACAATCACGTACAATACAGCCATTGTGCAACCTATTCTCAGATTCCACTATACACTTACAACTCACATTCTTCATAACTTGGAAGAAGATCAGGATTAATTTATTTGTCTTACCCATATCATTCCTGTCAGGATGTAGTTCTATAACTTTAAACAGTGCTACACAGAAGACTTCAGCCTTTGCAGGAGAGGGTGGAAGGAGTGCAAGAGCAGGGCAGTCTAATGCATAAGCAACTGTCTGAGAAATTGGGTTCATTATTTTTACTCTGATGCTCATAGCAAAATCTGTAGGACTGGAAAACAAGGCTGCATCTATGATGCTGAGAAGCATTCTAAACTCAGGGTGCCTACTGTGGCAGCCCTTGTAGCTGCCAACATCAAGTACTGCTATAAAGGACTTAGCAGCTTCTGCAAGAAAAGATCCCATGTTGCCTCATTTTTCTCTTTGACATCTATACTGCGAACATGCATGGATATCCAGATACTCCTAGTACCATACGTACTCTTGGTAAAGGTGCCTTAACATGTCTTTGTCGCAGGAAGAACCCTTAGTTTCCCTGCCAGAAAACTCAGCAAAACTGAAGAACTAGTACCAGAAGCACTCCTAAAGGAGGAAAAACAGAAGTTTATTTTGGCTTCAAGATTAGGTGAAGGTTGGGACTGCAAAGAGCAAGATAACTTGCTAATCATTGTATCTGATGCTAAGCACAGTGTCTGTGCTACCCTATTTGGAAGCAATGTAGCTAAGAGAACCAACGTGGAGGATTTCAACAACCATCAGACATTCAAGTGCCCAAATTCTTGGGAAGCTCTGGGCCAATAATTGTAAGTCAGGTTAAACACTGATTTTAATCCTTCCCCTGTCCTTAAAATAGATACCAGACACCTAAGAAGCTTCCAATTGGAAAAAAAGACAGGAAGTCTGATTAAGATTTCAGACTGCTTGCAGGGATTTGGCTGAATCTTGATTTGAGAAGGCAGATGAAAAAATACAGAAACAATGAGATGAGAAAGTCTGCCCTGCACATAGGTGCCCACACCCTAAGGAAAATCCTGAAGTAGTAAAACACTGCAAGTGCCTACTGACAAGACGTTCGCTGCGAAAAGGAAAGTTACCTGAGAGTCTTCCTGTTCTCAGGAATGCAAGACTCATGTTTTGATGTTTTTACTCACAGAATTAGGCAATCTTCATATCTTCATCTTCTGCCAGTTTTTCTGCCTCTTACGTGACTCTCAACTCGAGCATGTGCCTGGAGCAAAAAAAAAGGGAGAATTTCAAGCATCCTGCTCTTCTGAACCTATACGTGTTCAGAAGCTGTAGTTTCTGGGTTTCTTCTGGTTCAGCTATTCCATAAAACTGATACATAACTGTCGTGGTTTAAACATGACTGCTACTGCTGAACCCAGGACAATAACTTAAAGAAATGTGGTACTGTAAATAAAGCATTTGAACCACTGGACAAAGATAGGTCAGAACTGGCTCATGGGACTGTGACTACCACATGTTTTTCTGCGCTGTGTTTTTAGGAAAGTAAGTTAAAGGAGCAGTTGTTACACTGCAATGAAACCTCTTTCTGCTGATCAGTAATATCAGGCAGTCATTTCACCAAGTTTTTCCTATAAATAACCTGAGCTGGATCTTCTGGTGTAAGACTGATCAAGAATGGAGTCTAAAGGGTTAGACTGAAAGCCTCCCTCATTAGTCTAGCTAGGGAGCACTGGATACTCTTTGGGGAAGAAAACTTGAAGTTTCTTGTTAAGAGGAACAGAATTTCAGGTAAAGCAATCTGCCTGTCCATGTCTTGAGAACCACCCCTCCCCAACACTTAACAAAGAAGCAGGGAAAAACCCTACAACTTTAAAATACAGTATACACATCCATTTACAAAGGTTCTTAATGAAGCTAGGCCAGAAGAGAGCAGAGGGGAAGAAGGGTGTTAATAGACAACCAAACACAACATGCTCAAACATTTTATCTTCCAGAGGTAGAACAGAGGAGAGAGATGCAGGGTTCAGGTAACACAAAACACAACCACAAGGCAAAGGTTTGGCCTGGCCTGCTTTGAAACAGGGAGTCAGATTAAACGCATTACTCACCTGCATACTTGTTTGTCATAGCACAGCTCTGCACTAATGATTAGACATTAAAACCACAGCCCTTCCTCAGGGGAGCATTCCTCAGATGAAGCCTGCATGCACAGCAAAGCTGCCAGCTCTGGGCCAGGGAGCAGCACCTGCTCCTTCGGGGCCCGGTGCAAGGGGATGCCCAGGGCGGCAGGGCCTGTGCTGCTGCCTGCAGGCAATGGCAGCAGCTGGGTCTGACTGACAGGACCATGGTGCTGTGGCGCGGCAGTGCAAACAGCCACCCTGCAGGGGTTCTGCTCCCAGCACAGCCATGGGGACAAGACCATACCCGCAGCCAGGGTGGAGGCTCGGAGCAAGGTGCTCCTCAGGCAGAGCTGAGCTGCAGAGCAGCACCCCACTCACCGGGCCGGGCAGGGCCTGAGGGCCCTGGGCTGCGCTCACATAGGGCCCATGGGTGTGGGAGGCCCCACATGAGGCCAGGCAGAGCCATGACAGGACCCTGTGGTGTCCCCCGGGCCCGGCCCTCACCGTGTGAGGGAAGCCTTAACCTGACACCGCTGCTTGCTGCAGACGTGGGCCTGAGCCTTCACTCCCTGACAGCCCTGCAACTTCAGCGTTGATGTTCCTCTCCTTCTGCTTATTATGCTCCTGTTATTTCTTTTATGCAATGCTTGGTTTGCGTTAATTTTATTTGATGCACTTTGCAAGAAACATTTTCCTTAATCTGAAACCATTCTATGATTCTATGAATCCTTTTGCTCAGGTTGGTGTTTGAGTCAAGATCCCACTCACCTCTGGGAGCTGCAGCTTCCCTGGGTTTATGGATGAAAATAATCTATAGATTGTTTTCTCCATGGGTCCCCATGCACTCCTCCATCTAAACCCTGGTTATCACAAACTCTGTGGCTGCAGCAGACTTCACAACATGGCTTCCCCGCGGTGCTGCAGCAACTATTGCATTGCTGAGGCTTTTGGGGCTTAGGTTTCCCATGAAATGGCCACAAGTCCTTGCTCTCTCATGCGCATGGAGTTAATAATTTTTTAAAAGTGACCTTTCCAACAAAATTCCATATCTGCTGTTGTAGCTTTAATCTCATTCGCTGGAGAAAACTCAGATAAACGGTGAATGGAAACAATCGCACTGCTGTGCCGTAACCGCATGTTTTCTTTTCATTCAGCTTCTAACAGACCCTCGGTTAATCCTCTGAAATGTTCCATTCGCAATTCAAGTTTAAAATCTTTATTTTTTGTTCCTTTTCTTGTTTGTTCAGGGCTCGCTCCCACTATGCTACTGGAAAAGAGGAGAGTGTGAGTAATAAGACAGAAATAACTTCTGCACCAAACTGTTACAAACAATTCACCAGTTCATGGATAATCCAGTTAACATTGTCTATTTTTAAACTCTTTGGCTTAATTTATTTTCTGTATAAATGATTGCAGCCTCCCATCTATTCTGAACTTTTAAGAAAGGTGTATTTTTAAAACAGAGTTTAAAGACTGTAGGAGGGAAAAAAGGAGAGTAGGGCAGGATGAAGTATTGACGGAAACCTGGTATATCCTGCACTGCTTCATATCAGCAGCTGATCCTGATCCATCATGCTGTTTCATGAAGGGACAATTATGTTTACAACTCTGTCTTACATAAGGAAAAAAAGATTAGCCAAGGCACTTTCATGCATCATTTCATGACTCTCCAGAACAGCTCCTAACACTTCCTTGCTGCAAAGTTTGCCTCATTCCTATCCCTCAAATATGTCAAATTTTTAACAGCCTGTCTTGTTTTTTAACTTAGAAACTCTTACTTCTCCTTTTTTTCTCCTTTCCCTTTCTGTGTAAGAATTCAAATGTTCACTATTCCTTTTATATGACTGATCATGTTCAGTAATCATCTTGCAGAGACCTGATGTAAACTTAGAAAAGTCTTCAGTCTTTTCCACCTTGTTTGCCACTGTCTCAAGTCTGCTTTTTTCTAGAGCATTTTCAGTTTTATTTTCCCTTGTGCAAGTAACAGACCACAAAATTCATACCTTTAATACTGCCCATTGTTCTGTATGAAAGTCCAGTTCTCAGCTTTTCATCGAACCCTTCCCAGCTTCAAATACTTTCAGATATGTCAATTAAGAGTTTGGGCTTAGCTCCCTAGTCTTTTAAAACGCCTGTACTGAATACAGGATTGTGGATCTCCTATACTCAATAGAAAACAGGTACAGCCATATCCTTTTGCAAAACATTTGAACTTACAAGAAACAAATTGGGTACCATTTATAAGCAGTTATCATATTTGTATGGCATCACAAACATACCAGATATTATTTATGGGGGACTTAATTAGACTACATATTTTGTACTTGAGCAATACTATTTCTGTGAGAAAGTAATCCAAACTAGTATAGAATTTCTTTCAAGCACATGCACACAAATCGAGGCCATTTTCAACTGCATATCTGAAGTTTCTGCAGTTATCATTACAAACTTTTCTTGGACATTTCTGCTTTTTTCACATTCCACATTCTTTGCTATACTTCTACACCTACATTCATTTCAGGCTAGCAGTATACTGGAGCTAAAGCTAAGCAGACTTTTACACCTTCATTTTCCACAATTACTACAGAATTAAGCCATTTAATTAGCTTTTCTTTGCTATTTTATTTATCAGATTCCTCTTCACATTATTTCTGGAGCACTAAGGAAACATTCGTAGATAAATTTTTTTTGGCAGTACAACTATATCTTTTATTACATCAGTTTCCTTCTTGCACTTTAAAATATTTCTAAATTGATCATTGTGTCTGTGAGTACATGTCTACCTAATATACACATCTTCCTGACAAGCCTTGGCATGTTTACAAGCATGGAATAAATATTTGCATCTCAAAATCAGTTGTAAGCCATTTATTTCCAAGGTTTTAGTTCATCTTTGTATTTAAGCTATTTATGCCTGGAAAATTATTTCCCTGCTATACATTGTGAATTGTGTTTAACAAGAATACATTTTTTTCATTGTTTTTCTTGCTGCACATTAACTTAATAGCCTACTGCCTGGTAAATGTGTATTAAGATTTCAGCCAGTAAGTAGGTGTTTCAGTCTCTTGATACAGCACTCCCTTTAATCATAGAATGCCATCTGAATATTTCTAATGTGTTGTACAAAATACATTTACTTAGTTTCTTGGTGACCATTTTCAGTTCTTGCTTTTGGGTTTTTTAAAATAGTTTTGCTCCTGACAAGTATACTGTCTCTTTGCAAATATTGGCAGCTGCTTTAGCCTTTGATATTTCCTTGTGCAGCCCAACACACTGCTCCCTGTTGTTAGTGTATGATCACTGCCTTTGGCAGACTGCTTCTTGGACCTTTTAACTTCCATTCTCCTCTGCCCATTTTCATTGTTGTTTTTTTCCTAGTGTTTGTTTAATATAATCCAAGCTAACACAGGCTTTTCCTCTTCCAACACTTGGAACTTTGTTGGTTTTATTTTGCATCCTGGTGCAGTTTGATTTTTGTTCTCTAAGTTTAAATTGGGAAATTCCACCTACATTTTCCACAGTTTTGGATGTCAATATCCTATTGAAAGACGTATTTGGATCAGACAGGCGCTTCCCAACATCTTTTTACTCAGTTGTACTGTAAGCACTTTAACTGTATTTATTTATTTCTGGAAATTCGGTGTTCTTTGTTACCTAATTGACCTTTCTTAACTTTCTTTGTATTTTTGACAGATACCTTTTTTAACAGATGTGTTACTTCCTTTTCACATGGTTCTCTGGGTAGCTCAGGATGAGACAAAATTCACATCTGAGTATCTCCAATTTGCCTGCTACCGTCCTGTGCAGTTTGAGACTCTCAGGGTTTTTAGTTCTCTCTCCTCATATGCAGCTTCTTGACACACTCTTTTTCCTACTCTGCTGCTGGCACAATTGCCTGTGCCTGGCTGCTAATGAGGATGATGGCCTGGTACCAGGGAGTGCTTTTCCATGGTAGCCAGAATGAAGTCAGAGTTGGTGGCTTAGAGTTAAGAAAAGCCCTTGATAAAAAAATACCAACTCTGCTTGCAGGGCACCCCTGTGTCTCTGTGCCTCTTTCCAGGGCAGGTAGTAGGGCCCGGCATCAGGGCGATGAAGCAACCATGGGAGCACAGTATGTGCTCCTTGAATGGACAAAAGCCTTTCATCTGCAGGGCTGAAAGACAGGCACTGTTCACCAGCACCATGTTAGCCCAGAGTAAACAGAGGCTAAGCTATTGCAGATCATAACATTAATGGATCGGGTTGCCATAGCATGTTTGCACCAGGGTTTCAGCTTCTCCCGAGTGAAATGTAAATCCTCCTGTAACACCATTTTCCTTCTTTCTAGATCAAATTATTCATTGGTTTAAATCTATTATCATGAGCTTGGACCACAGACTCTTTTGAATCTAAAAGGACAGATTTCTGAAGAGGGCAGTCATAGTTTTCTTTATTTCTCAGTTTTCTGTGAAGTTCATATTGTGTGTGTCAGAAACATTCAGTCCTCACCCTAACACATTTTATATCTTCACTTAGACTATGGCATGAAGCTGAAAGCGTGTTCAGGCTTGGATAGAGACAGAAGGAGAGAGACGATGAAACAGCCACTGTGGTATACCATTGTTTGACCACTTGAGAACTGTATGACCTTTGAGTTTATTCAGAAATATTCATAAACATGTGAACATAGCGAGCCATTTCTTTTCTGTCAAAGCTTATTGTGCGGTTCAGGTTTTTGGAAGAGACTTGAGTAACATTTGTTTGCATTAAAGAGACAGTTACTCCTAGCTACCTTTAAACAGCACCAATGCACAAATTGTGTAGTCTTTCCCGTAGAGCATGACAAGACCAGTGACTCCAGTAAGCATAAATATACAAGGACAGAATTTTCTGTCCCTATCATGCATTCTTAAAATAAACTTGATTTGGTCTTTTTGTTTATCCAGGAGGCATAAGCAATTCTGCAGAACAGCTATTCTAGAGGATGGAACAGAAAGTTATGTGTTATAACTGGGAAAGTAGAGAGTTAACCAGCAGTCCTGTGAGGGAGTGATGGACAGGGTTGACAAGTGAAAGGCCCAGGGTGACATGAATGTAAGGGAACATAAAATCAACAACAAAGGGTTAGGCAAGGTCATCTCAATTGCCTACAGGCAATATTGCATGTCAGCAAGGAAGTGCCTAAATGGCACTGTTATGGGAAAACCCACCAGCAAGCCAGTGTGCCCCCCTCAAAGTGCCTGTATGCATACAGCATGGGGACTGAACATGAGGAATCAGAGATCTGTGTGAAGCTTTTAGGGCTGTGGTCGTTTAGGGG